TATATATATATATATATATATATATATATATATATATATATGGGTTATATGGGCAGGAATAAAACCTGAAGAGTTAAAATGAGATAGTTTTTTCTTTTTTTTTTACTTGACTTTAAATAATTGGGTGCTTTGATAATGATGATGATGATATGACATCGCGGTGAGATGTTAAGCTGAACCACCCTCTTCATACAAGAAAGCCTCAGTAGGCCATTGGCCTTCTTGATCACGGACTAGCCTCGTCTAGATGAGTACGATAGCAAACCTCTACCTGAAAAATAAAATTTAAGAGAACTGCTTAATTCGCCTAAAGGGACCCTATACTGGGATTGACGGAGTCATTACAAATCCTAAAGTTAGCAAGTAAGATAAACGTGACCCTTTTCTTACTAAAAAGAAATAGGATTGTATACAATGAGACAATTTACTTTTGATATGAGGAGGTCACAATTACTTACAACCATATAATGCAAAATCTCACAGCTTCGATGTGTAACAATGTTTGAAAAAATTTCTTTTGAAGTTTGAGCTTGGTCAATGAAATAAATGCAACCATCTAATATTATATCCAATGGTCATGAAAAATTGGGACCACTTTGTATCAAAAATAAATAATGTCATTGTATATTTTTCTAAAAGAAATGCCGCCTCCTTGTCATCAAAAAGAAAAAATAAAAAATGATGTTCATCGAGTTTCCTCCCATATGAGCATGTTAAAGAATTGCTTCCTCAAGCAAAATAACTCTTTTAGTGTATTTTCTTATAAAAAATTTTTGGATTTACTTTAAAATCACTAGTTGAATATTGAAAAAAAAAAAAAATGAATTTATAAAAATTTTCGGTCTAGCAGTCTCGAAAAACTGGATGGTTAGTAGTCATTCTTGGGATTTTAACTTTTCAGGGATGTACAAAGTGCACCGACTTCTCCACGTTCTCTGAGGGTGATATAAGGACGTTACATACCCAAATTTTTTAGGTCACGAAAATATTTCTAGGTCTTGTTTGGAAGTCCATGTTTTTTGCTCTTAGTACGAATGACAAACAGGTCGAGCCGACGCGATCCAAGTCTAGGTTCGAGTCTGAGTTCATGTTTTGGACTTGGGTCGGGTTCATGTTCAAACTTCTAGACCTAAGTCAGATTTGGGTCGGGTCTGTATCGACCTGGACCCGATTGAAGATATGTATACATGTACACACACATATATAAATATATATATAAAGGGAAACGTTTATATAAGATTGCAACCTTAAAATATGGAATTAAAGTGCACCTCAAAAATCCATCGTAGAAGGTTGATTTGTTATTGGAAAACCTCTAATTGATCATCTCGACATCGAGATACATGAATACGAAAAGAAAAAAAAAATTGAGTCCCAATAAATGTGTATCTTGAAACAAATTATCTAGACCATCAATTTTCAAGATTTTCAAGTGTTTATAGATCTATTTGATTTGAACCATTTTTGGTGTTTTATGAATTTATATTTAGAGATAAAAATAGATTTTCAAGCTATGCTAAGAATTTTTAAACCCAAAATTATATGTTTATGATAAAATTTGGAGGTGCACCTTAATTTGATTATTTTAGGTAGCAACCTTATACAAACCACACCTTTTTTGGAATGGTGCGGCTTTTGTTCGGTTGTAACGGTATTTATAGAAATAAGGTTGTAATACTCTATACTATTTAATATACTTGAAGATGTAGATTTGACACGTTTTTTAATAAAATATAACACGTTTTTTAATAAAATATAAACACATGACATGTTTTTTATAATAATATCCAATCTGCATCGTCCAAATAAAATCGATAATATAGATTACTGCAACTTTACTTCTACAAATAAGGCTACAACCTTTTATAAACCCTTTTTTTTGTTTTTTTTTCAAGTGTAATACTTTGCCTATATATGTAGGAAATGCATATAATGAGAGTATTTATGTTTGATACATTGAGGTCACAATCATCGTTGACCGTTAGATTCGAAATCAAGTGGTTGAGGATGTTCATTGATTGGGCACAAAGTCCAAAATCAAAATTTCTTAATATTATGACGCACTTTCATTAATTAGATTTCACATCCAATGGCTAAAAATGATTGTGACCTACTTGTACTAAAAATAAGCAGTCTCATAGTATACGATCTCATAGAGGGATCACATACCATTTAATCATAGTACAAGGAGGTCACAATCACTTTTAGCTATTTTTTTTTTTTTAATATTTTCATTTAGGTTCTAGATCAGAAACCAAACTGACCCAAACCCGAACCGGGTCGGTTCTGAGACCAAATTTTGGACCCATTGGATCATATCCGGGTCCAAAAACATAGACTCAAGTTGGGTTGACCTAACCCATTATACCGAGGTCCCAGCCCATTACCACCAAGAAAATTCTTTAGGGAAAGTATATGAAGAGACCATTTACCTTTGGTACAAGGTAGTCACAATTAATATTGCCCATTAGATGGGAAATTGGGTGGTTGTATTTATTTCATTGATCAAATTTAAAGTTCAAGATATTTTTTTTTTTAATATTGTGATACACCCAAGCTATCAGATTTCACATCAGATGATTGTAAATAACTATGACATCCCTATACAAAAAGTAAATGATCTCATTGTATACAACCCTAAGTTTTTCAATAGTTACACCTAAATAGGTGGCAGGTTGCTTGGTGCACCATTATACGGAGGCGCAACACCAGATCCCCGAAATCATAAAAGTAGACAGTAAAAATAGTTATTATTTCGAGTGTTCAAATCGAATGTTGCGCGACTATTTTCATGAGTACCCTCAAAGCTAGGAAAGATAAAAATGGGAGGTGGCCATTGGGACGTCCAAAGAAGTTCTAGTTGTAATATAAATCTACGACTGCTTTTTATACTTCGTCATAATTACTTGGCAGAATTAAATTATGAGTAACCATTTTTTTACATGGTAAATCATTCACCTTAGAAACCACGTTGTGATTTTTATTTCTACCACTAACATCACTTCACTAATACTTTCGAAAAGATAATTCCTAATCTATTTAGAGAAATCACTTCACTAATACTTTCGAAAAGATAATTCCTAATCTATTTAGAGAAATGGAAAGGGTGTTTCCATTCTCACCGCTAACATTACCCCGCTAATACCTTTAAAAGACTAATTTCTAATCTACTTGGAGAAATGGAAAGGGGGCATGCCTTCTTTCCCCACAGAATTACCCCAAAAAAACAAAAAATAAAGCCCAACCTCTATTGTGCCCTGTTTAATACTTCCCCTAAAGAAGTGGCCCATGGCTCTTGTGACGAATTTTTTTTTTGGTTTTTTTTTCTTTTTGGTCTGGTAGTAAGGATTTGGTCTCATACCATTTGGTGAAAATGAAGAATGGAGTACGAGACTGAATTCATAAGGCCGGATGGTACTATCAACCCAACACATTCTCTGTCACTGTGAGGACCTATAGGGGGAAGGTATAGTTTTATCTTTTCTTTTGAAGTGAACTACACGAGAATGACAAGAAAACAAGAGAACGAGGGCACCAAGATTTGAGAATCTCTCTCTCAAGCTCACACACACACATAATAGATGTTGCCTACTTACGGTTTTGTTTTGGATAAGGGTTCTGAAGGGCATTTCTTGTAACTAAGATCGAGTAATTAGTGTTATATTGAGAGAATGTGTGTGAGAGAGAGGGAGAGAGACCTTTGAATGGCACAATTCCTCTTTTGATAAGTTCGGAGTAGTGCAAGAAACCCCAAAAAGCAGCACTACTTGTCACCCACAAACAAATCCTTGGGATCCCGAGCTCTTCTGCAACAACCTGCGTAAAGTTGAGATCCGAAATTATGCATGTAAGCGGAGGGACTTGTATGGAGTCATTGAGTTTTGAAACCAAATCCCTGAAAGGACTGAAGAAATTCTTCATCGTTGCATCAATGAGGCCTGCGGCATCTTGGGTCCGGCCATGGTTTGGCGGCAAGCCATCAGGGATCGATTCCAACTTAAAATCCTCCAAATTGTTCAATTCCATGGCTCCTCCTGATCTAGTAATACGCTCATGGTTAAATTCAGTGTTGACAAAAGTAATGTAAAAGCCTCTGGCATGGAGAAGCTTAGCAAGGTGCATCATGGGGTTAATATGGCCTTGAGCGGGAAGTGGGAAACACAGGGCATGAGGTTTCTCTACCCTTGTAGACTCCATTCTCTCTCTCTCAAAAGCAATGAGATGTATTGCTCTCTGGCTTGGGCCAGGGCCTTGCCTTCAATTTATAGAAAGAGATAGAGGCCAAGGGACATCAAGTACCCCTTGGGACCACCTGCAATAATTTCAACTAATAATAATAATAATAATCAAATTAGGGAAACCCAAAAAAAAATTAGTTGGTCTTTGGAGACTAAAACAAGGAAGCAAAAAACTTATCCAATTTTGAAATCTGGATGACTGAAATATGAGTACTAGAGTACCCGCTCATGTGTTTGATTTACGCTGGAATTTTGTAATTAGAAAATCCTTGAATTTATCAGTTTTGATCAGGGTTTGAATACTCATCGAGTCGAGCCGGACTCGTCCGGTTCGACTAGAGAATCGCCGGCAACCGAGCCGATTCCACGAAAAAACCGGGAATCGCCCGTGTCAAGAGAGAACCGGGCAATTCCCAAAAGTGAATCGCGAGTCTCCCCGAAAAAACCTGGGCATTCTAATAATTTTTTGGGTTTACACGTGGCCGCCTCTCGGGAGCAACACGTGGCACCTAAAAATCCTCCACATGTGATAATTCACCTCACATGTCTGCCCCCTCGCTTTTCTACACGCGCAATGCAACATCTATTACACATGAATTTGTAGAGAACAAAGCGACGTTCATCCTTCGATGTGCGATAATTCCCACAAAAAATCATTAAAGTATGATGATTGAATATATATTATTATAGAAGCTAATAAAATCACATTAGGCGACATGGCGGTGTTGATTGACATCTCCAATTTTTTGGTGGCTGTCTAGAGTTCGAACCTTTTAGCATGCATCATCGTTTATATTTTTGTTGTCAAAAAAATAAACAAAGGCAGAAAATATTATTTTAAAAAAATAGAAAAAATAAAAAATAAAAAGCTTTTCAAGATAAAGATAAAAAAGATTATACAACATTTTTTTATTTTTTTTGTAAAAAAAATACAAAGTAATATAACAAGTATTTCTTGCAAAAAAATAAAACAAAAGGCATAAAAAAATAAAATATACTTTGGCAGAATCATTTTTTTATTTTTCTTGTAAAAAAAAATAAAAGGTAATACAACAAGCAAAAAAAAAAGTAGTACAACATCTTCTTCTTTTGTCAAAAAAAGAAGAAGAAGATAATCAACAAGTATCATATTTTTCTTGTAAAAAAAAAACACAATAAGTATTTAGTGTCAAAAAAATAAAAGGTATTTCTTAATACAACCTAGGAATAAATGGTCTAATTATATTTTTTATTTTTATAACATGATGGTCTTTAACATAAAGTTAAAAATATTAATTTAAAAATAGAATTCATACAATGAGGCCATTTGAAATCTCTCTCTTTCTACTAACAGTCTCTTCCACAAATTTATTCTAGAAACCCAAAATTTAAATAAAATTGATACGCATTCTAATAATTTTTATATTGATAACCAAATCTTTTATTTCATTTATTAATTTTTGTATAATAAATCATGTAGTGTACTATTTTTTCTTACAG